TTGCCTGCATTTTTGAAGAATGCGTAGATACTGAAATTCTTAAGGCAGATTTCAGTGCTAGTACGAAGACTAGAATTAATAGGTCTTATAAATGAAGAAGAATTTTGATACTGAAAGGGTGAATAAGTGATAACCCTATGTGACCGTACATTCATACGTCAGACCTCTACGCTATTGACATCAGATGCACTTATGAACACTCAATCAAGGCGAATTACATACAATACCAATATATATACTACTATAAATCCCCCAATTATCTTAGATCATAAAAAGATAAAGTATTTATAAGTTAAAACATAAAAGCCCATTAATAGAATTATCCGTGATCCACAGTTAGTGCTCATAAAGCGACTCTCACGCACGTGTCGCAATAATCGTCGGCGAAGTTTGTACATCATTACTTTTATGATGAAACTTTTCTTATGAAACGTTCCACACCGCGCTATGAACCCATCCGAATCAATTCCAACGTACCAACTTCAGCATGTTATTACTTAAACGTATATTCGCAACTTCTTTCGCAAGTTCTGAAAGAAAATTTATTTAAATGTGATGTGGTGAGTGAATGAGAAATTATTTTTTGATAAAGTCTTTTCAAAATCTATATTTTATGTGACTAATGTAAGTGTCTATCAAAAAATTAATAACAATAGACCAAGAGAACTACAGTTTATGAAGGAATCGAATACACGTTGCGTAGGTAACGAGGCATCATAGTGCAGATTCGATGTTGATTCGATCTCAACGTGTGGCTAGACGACCGAGTGCTACCAATTACTGTGCCAAACATGTAGTCAGAATACTGCATTTTTATCTAGAACTTGTGCACTAAAGATTCATCACTGATGAGGAATGCAATTATGTGATTTAGTACTGAGTATGATAAACTGTAATCTCTAGTTATCGAAGCAGCAGCGATGTATTTCGATAAAGGTAATGAATCCAGAGCCGGATTACATTCCTGTAGGCTTGTTCAAATAGCTACCAAAATGTTTACTTGCTTAGGCCTTAAAACGAGTCCCCCCTGCAACGGGAGCGGTTATCGGAGGCCCAATGCTACCCCCCCCCCCATTCCCAATCCTCAAATCCTTAACCCCTAATCCCAAAAAACTAGCAACAAACTTGTAACTCCTTCATGACATGGCCCGGTTGGTAGTTAGTCACCCTGTCTCATAAAGAAACTAAAACAATCAATGGGAGAAATCCAAGTAAAACATCAAACAATATCCAGCTCAAACCAGTGAAAGTTCCAAAGCTAACACAATGGTGGATTAAGTTCAATTCAGTTATCGATGTAATCAATGTAATCTAGAAGGTAAACGCAATTAGTTGATGACCGCAGTGACCGAGTAATGGCGACGCGCCCGGCCGCTCCTCGCTAATTACTTGAAAAACTAATACTTTTATCGCTTACCATACGTAATGCGATGTTTTGTGGGAATTATTCACCTTGTTTGTTTGTTTCCAATGTGGAATACAGGGCATGGGTGCAGCTTTTAAGGAAAATTGACGCTTGAAGAATGATAAATGTTATAAACATATAGTTAGAGATACCTATATCAAAACCGAACATAGGATTATCAGGCTTTGGTTAAAAACTGCTGGATTAACAACTGGACAACTGGCTGCCGCGCTACGTGGCGCATGTTCGATTCCCACACAACTGTGTGATCCACACAGTTGTTCCGGGTCTGGGTGTCATGTGAAAGTATGTAAACTTGAATATTTCTAAACGCACCCACGGCACAGGAGAAAATCCTAGTGTGGGGCAACATTTTTTTAAAACAAAACAAAAAAAACGTCTTTGACTCTCCTTTAGTCTCCTCTCATGATACCCGCGGGTAGCGGTGATAACGAATAGATTCTATTATAAAGTCACCAAACCTGCGTAGTAAAAACAATCACGCTTGTAAACACTGGGTCGTCGCGCCAGTCGATATGTAATTGCTTTGGAAAATACCTAATTAGGTGCCTATTGTTATGCTCAATCACATTATAATCAGTCGATATCGCACATGTTAACTTATTAACCAGAATACAATCTCTGCCTACAGTATGTCTACATCTGATAAGATTCTATGATAAATTATGATAATTTCATAAATTGTTAATTAGATTAGTAATGGCATGTCAGTAAGCCTGCCAGTATATCTGGCGGTTTCAGAAGATACCTAGATATAGGTAGGATATTCCTAGTTAAGTATTCGTCTTGTGTACTTATTTTAAGTAAAATTATCTTACAAACTCAATTGTACTACCTACGTCACAAAACTCGTCAAAGTAAAGTAAAGTAGGCACCTATTCCCTTCAGACTTCTAAACAAGTTACAGTTCTGTTCAAACACTGGAATCAGAAGGCATTGACTTAAAAAATTGTTCGCCAACTCTTTTCAAATATTCGAAAAGTTGATTTGAATTCTTTTTGATTACATTTCATTGTTACTGAATCAGTAGGTTGGTAACTTTGTTACAATCTGCTGTGAGTTTGCGCTCTTCTGAATTCCTATGAATAATACATGCTGTCTTAGATGTACCCGGAGTTATTCTCGGTGCAAAGAATTTACATGCGAATGTAAGTGTCGACTGTGGCTAGAACGATGTACGATAGTGATTGTGGATGAAAGGCCAACGTGCATTTATGAGAACTGAAAATATTTAATTTCAATTTTACCACTAAGTAGGCCAGTCACATTGTTGCGAACCGATGAGAGTTAGAGTAAACGTTTTGGCGAAATCCACACCGAAGCAAGTAGCAAATACAGCGTAGAACGATCTCAGTCTAATAGCGATATATGTAGGTAGGTGCAAGGATGAAATTGACGCCGCCGGCAATGGTTGGATAGGAAGAGCTAAAGATGAAACCCAGGAGACGAAGAGAGTGCTATTTATTAGCTCATTAATCCATGTCCAGTTGTCGGAGTGGACTATGGATGGAAACCAGTAAAAGCGTACATAGCAAGTCGACAATTTATTGTTATAATATTATTGATTTTATATACACCTTTATAACCACTTACATGTACACTTATGTTTGTATGTATGTTCATAGCGCCGACCTTTAGTCGCAACTTTAATTCATATAAAGCCATGTTCATACGACAAGGAATTTCAATATAGGCACGAACTGCCTCATATGCGGTGAACTGTGTACCCACATACCATTGAGTATAACTCGTAAACCTATATCGATAAGGTCGAAAATGCGAGAGCAAAATGTAGCGTGTTTACTCGCGTTGTCGAACCAATATCTAATAGCGTCGTGCGTGTGTCTCACGCTATAAAATAAAACTTTGCTGTCATTATTTAAGGCATTACCAAAATAGCTGCTGGTAATAACATTTTCAAGGTATTTCACTAAAACCTAATGATAAATATTTATTGCATTTAGAAAGTTTTGCAAAGAAAGTTAAATATTGTGGTGTATCTAAATATCAAAGTGTCAGTGATCATGTGACATCATACCACCATGATCAGCCAGGGTCTGTTGAACAAAGAGATGACAATGACAGGTTGATATTCTTCTTGGTACCTATAACTTAAGAACAAAGTCGCAGTCGAGCATAGAAACGGTATTATTTTTCTATTTCGAACTTTGCTCGTCTCATTAGGTACTGTCTGTCTACTGGAAGTGCCGACAGGTGCGATCACCGGGTTAGTAAAGTGTAAAGTCAGTATTCGAAAACCAGCAATAACACAGTATTTAAATGCTATTTACCCTATATTTTGGCAATACATTCATGCCCCCTGTAACATGAGATTCCCAACATAAACGATGAAGTAACTTCGCTTCTCGAATTTGCTCATTTATCCTTAAGTTTTACGCAATAACAATAAGACAGAATGCAATGTTAGTTGTAGTTTTAAACACCATAATTTGCAAGAGTTTAAAGATTTCCTAAATAGTTTGTGGTAACTCACCGGCAGATGGCGCTGTAGGTCAGGTGGGCAAAACTAACACTACCCACTACCCAAACGAAATAAAGTGTATAGCCATCATAAAAATTTCAATCATAATTAAAGAAATAGAAATAAAAAAAATTTAAATAAGTGAAATATTACAGGCTTGTGTGTCCGAATGTGTAGAGACGCCTTATTAAAATAATATTATTGAGTTCTGACAACAAACAATAAACTTCATTTGCATTTAATAGGGAAGGAAGACCATTGATTAACAACGATTTAGTAAATTGCAAATCGATAGTTTTAATCGAATCAGAAAATTGATTACTTATGTTTATCATCTTCATTGCTAAAACGAGAAGTGGTTTTAGTACTTCTAAAATGATTCATTGTGGTTTTGTTAAGTCGCCACAGCCACTTGTAGCACAACCTAAATATTGTCAGAAATAAAATTATTTTGCCAAGTTTTTCTTGTAGGTGGATAGTATAACTTTTTGGTAAACGTCCGTTAGTCTCCTATCATCATAATTTATAGCTTTTTGTCTATGCAGAAAGGGTTTTGGATAGTGTAACAATCATCTTTTTCATTCTCTTTGCTGTAACAAACTGGCCGTAGTAATAAAATTAGCATTGCATAAGCATTCATATTGCGTCAATAATGCGACGCGTTATGAGCCGTGATGATTGCTAGGGACATATACGATAGGCAGCGGCTTGGTGCGGCGTGGCGGGAAGCCTGCGCCCGTGCGGCAGCCAACGTTATCTCGTTAGCACGGCCGGTGTTTGCAGGCGGCCACTGCGGCGCGCCCTCGCCTCGACCGCGAACTAGGGCATCGGGGTGCTCGGGAGCAGTCGAGCAGCCGCCGCGCCGCAGCCCGAGGCGTGAGACGCTGCTGGCGGCCGCCACTCGGCGCTCGCCACTCGCTCCACGGTCGCCGCTAGCGCCCGCAGTGACGCATTGCAGGTGCGCGACGGCCAATCGGCGCGCGCCGAACGCCAGTCCACGCCGCCGCACCAGCCCGATATAAAACCGACTATCCTTTGCGGATCAAATTTAATCCTGTGTTGTGCGTCCCGAGACATGGACTTGGACGTTCGAGTGATAAAGTTTTGAAACGAAACGATTGTAGCGTAGTGTTAAAAACTATTCCGAGCGTCGGAAAACGGATATGAAAATACGGTGAATCGAATAGTCGATTCGGAACGATTCGTGACCGAGCACGAAGCGAATCGCGGTCGCGAGTTTCTCGGCGCGGCCGCTCGCGCGAGTGAGGGCGGCAGTATCGTTTCAACCGTCGATCCGTGCGGTCGCTTTTGCGGCGTAGTCTGTGATTTTTTTAGTGTAGCTCCTGATAATCCAAGTTAATCTACAATGGTGAGTGATATTTCTGCTGAAAGGTGTCGGAAGTGCATTCAGGGGATCATTCTAATTTGAATCCAGGGTATATTTTTGGGTTGTGGTGCATCGGTGTTTATAGTGATGACGGGCCTCCATTATATTATTGTGATGGCCGTTTTTTACCGCATTGCGGATCGGCTGCGAAACCAATGTCTTGATCAGGATGCAAGGCCAATAATCAAAGATATGTAGGAAAAATCGCGAGTGTTACGAGATTTCTAAAATCTATAGAAAGACCGTTAGAAAGGGTCGAGAAACATCCGTCGCCATAGTTTCGTAGGTGGTGCCGGCTAAATGACGTTAGTTTGAGTTGAAGCCGGCCGTTGATGACGCTTTAAAATGGCGCTCGGATTCTAATACAAAGAAAACAAGTGGTTTAGTGTGTTCTTTCGGTGCTTAGAGGCCTAGTCGCGCCCTGTTGACGGTGGATCGATCGGCCGGGCGCAACTGTCAAACGCCCGTTGACTCATCGCTACGCGCGCTTCTATATTTTTCATACGCAATTCGCTAAACGGGTCGCGTTTCTTCGCCGGTCTGGGAGGCTGCGACTTTAAACAATAGCAATACTGTATCCGTACACTCGGCCAGCAAGTTCGCCTCAGTTTGCGTGGATTGCATTGTATCGCAATGGTATGTAAATATCGTCGCACCTGGCACAGCTGACTCGATATCGCGGTCTACTTAACGTTAACGACTTTCTCCATTATTTCGGTTAACTTATTGCATTCTTATTCGAGGCTAACAGCTTGTACCAATAAGAACCAGATTCTTATTTGGAGGTCTGTCACTAATAGGAAGAATGTCTTTGGCTGCTATATTGGCTGTCAATTCCTCTTATGGTTGATATGTTCAATTTATGCAAAGGAATTGCACCATTGAATTATATTACTGTAGGTCTTTTTTGGAATGTAGATAAGTTAATGCAATGATTTAGTTGTTACTTAATCACTCTGAGACAATAAGTTTGTGGATAGGAGACTAAAACATGCCATGTCAAAAGATGAGAATATGATTGAGTGGGTCGTGAAAATTATTTGTTCATCTACCTACAAACTTGTTAGTAAATGTAAAAGTCTGGGGACCTTGGTAACATTTGATATAATTATTATTTGTAATCAATAATGTAGAAGTTATTTGCTTATCAGATTTTTGTATATCTTAGATGTGTGATAAAGATAAAATACCTAATTGCAATATGAGTTACCTTGAAATGATTACTGATTCTATGACTGTATGCTGATACAAACAAGAATAATAGTGCAATCATAATTACCTTAGAAAAACTAGTCTGTATTTTTATTGAGAGAACAATGATGGTTTAACATGAAACATGGCATGGTAACTGATAAGAGATGATTGTTGTAGTATTTTTAGCTGTGATGATTAGTCTGCCCACATCACCATATATCGGCAGGAAAACCGGAGCTTATTGTTCAAGGATGTTTAATAATTACCTCACAAATAAATGTAGAGGATAAATATTACAACTATAGAATAGTATACTGTATTTTCCTCAATAAAATAACTAGTTAAATTTTGTGTCAAAATAGTTAATATTCATGGCAGTGTATTGCATATTAGAATCCTGTTTGATGTCACAAACCTTTGGGAATATAAATATAATAATTTCCAAGGGTATTATAATATTAATTTCCGTTACAACACTAGAAGTTACTACTACTTTTTTAACCTTATCTTAATATTGCATTAAGTCACACTAAGTATGGTTGTAATGATATTGTAATAGAATGTGTCACTATACAATTCCACTCGACACAAATCAATAAAGTTTTAGGAATATTTAGATATTCCAATGAAGACACAAGTTGTGTTACAAGCAAAAACTAGAAGTTGATTAAACTTGTTTAATATTTCTTGATTAAAAAAGCTTTAAACGTATTAAAGTCTAATTTTGATGTTGATGAAATCATGGCATCCTACTTTAAAAGTTATTATATTAGGTTTGTATGGACGTTGGTATTTAAATATAGGTTTTCCTCATTTTTTTGTTAAAGCTAAATTATCTATAGTTTCTGGTTTATGTTCGAACTTCCTGTTTGTATTTAGTTGTGGGCTTTGTGGCTATATCACCTATTTTATTATTATAAAATTAATATTGAAGTCACTCCGGAGATTGCCTGAATGCAATTTTGACACCAATTGTATTTTTATACAACATTATTGTAATCTAATGTTTTTAACAAGTCTCTGTCTTGGGTAAATTATTGTTTTATGTTTTGCAAGATGTTTGTTTTCATTTTTTCTCATGTTATCTCTACTTTTAAATGTGTACTTACATTGAAGTTGTAGTGGAATACTGATGGAGTGCTAGTGATAAGAAAATATTAGACTCTCAACTGTATTTTAGTAATAGCAACACTTGTGCCATACCTCCGACACTGCAGTATTCGGGAGACAGGCAAAGGACATCAATTACAGTTGTTGGCGTGGCAGCTCAGACATTTACTATAATTTGTTTGTGTCCCAAGCACTATCAGTACTTATCCTACTTTTCAAATAACAATCATATTTCTGAAGTATTTATGCCACTATCTCAATAGCACCGTATTTATTGATAAAAGTGGCAATGCAGTATTTTGTATCTGTGGCGTAAAAGACCGCAGTATGACGCGCCGAGGCCGGTCCGGTAATTACACATAATCTCCAGTGTAATCTTATCGCCGGCGATAACCGCTTGCGTTCCGTCTACCGTCTCTTCGTATCTGACACTCATTAACAATGGTCGTCAACACTGTACGTTCTGCATTTTAATAAAAAAATAATAATTTAATTGTTGTTGCTAAAATCAAGATTAAGGAAATATTCGTAATCTTATCCTAAGATCGTAGTTTCTGTGCATTGAACATTTCTAATATGGTTGTTTGTTGGTTCCAGGCGGATCAACTGACAGAGGAACAGATCGCCGAGTTCAAGGAGGCGTTCTCACTGTTCGACAAAGATGGCGACGGCACCATCACAACCAAAGAGTTGGGAACCGTTATGAGATCCTTAGGACAGAACCCCACAGAAGCAGAGCTTCAAGACATGATCAACGAAGTTGACGCAGACGGTGAGTACACCACTGTACCTTATAGCGCCCTAGCACACCCGACAATTCCTCGCATACCTTGTGGCCATTCAATCTCGTTCAAGTCGAGTAGATGTTAACATTTTTGGCCTTAACCAGAAACGATGTATGGACTTGCCAAAGTATTTGTTACAGCTATTACAGAATATTACAAATTGCTTCGAAAATGCATACGTGTTTCGTCACCATTTACCTTATTGTAACTTTAAATATCTAGTGCCTATAGTGATTAGATAAGATAACCAAAATACCAAATTAAAAACATTGCGAGAACCTAATGCCTACGTGATGGCAGGTGTACCTGATTGGTGTACAATTGCCCAGTTAAGTCTAGAAGTGTTGTTTTGCGACATATAAATATTAACTTAGCTGGTTTATAAAATAAGCAATCACATTCTTGCATCATAGAAGTGATTATTATATCAATTGTTAAATCAAAATAAACGTGCTATTCTTGATTTACGACCTATTGTTATAACTAGTAACGGTAAACGATTCCATTTTATTCAGTTTTTCAATAAAAGAATCGATTTATTACCAGCACGTAGGTGAAGCTATCAATCAACAAGTCAATAACAAGATAAAACTAATTATAAATAGATTGTCACTGGTATTCGATTGCTTTTTCCTCAAAATGGAATTGACAACTATTATTCTATGGTGTTCGATGCAAACAAGGTTCATCTCGTAGTGTTTAGGTATCGACAAGGTAATGCAAAATCGTTTATGGCAAAAATATAATGTTTCCTCTCATAGCAACAATCGATGGAAAAGTATGATACGAGCAATTCGCTATCAATTCAATGTAGGCATGTACTTAAATTAAGGTCATCGATACCTATTGTGATTCATTACAAATGTAATAAATTTCATATCGCGTCGCCTGGCACTTGCCGTAATCGATATTATGTGTATTATCGTCTAAGGTATTAGACTGGCGATAAGTACTGAGTATCTATGATTAAGGTCCTTTGGAATGCGTGTGTGCCTAGCTGTCGATTTTATACCTTAAACGGCGGCAGTATCTTTAATTGATCGAGTTAATGTACATAAAAATGTAAAGGCTCACGCCTGATCAGCTTATGTAAACAATGTTATGCTTGGATGAAGCAATTGCAGTCTAGCCTAACTAAACCGACGGTAGATTTCACTTGGATTGCAGTAATGGTCTCAACTCTCAATATTTTTGGTATTTCCATACTCCTTTCTGTGACTCTGGTAACGATCATGGAAATTGATAAAGTCCCGTCACGGAGCTGCGCTGTAACCAGCCGTGCGTCTGTTCTAGCTCAACATTAAAAATAATAATTTCAGTAGAACTCAAAAAACAAGCTTCCGCGCAATTTAAATGTTTACACTTGAGTATAGTTATAAGTTAATCCATAGTGCGCGTGCGCCATAAAAACATTATCACCGCGTACTTACGTAGGCCACGTTTACACAGCACTTTATCAGTGTCCGTGTGTGCGTATTTATTTAGCGAACAACGCTAAGCCAACACGTATGTTTAATTACGTGTCGCCAAAATATCGTACAATTAAACTTTCCGTAAATGTTCATTAACTGCTTCCTTCGCTATTATTGTGGGCATGTATAGATATAATAAGAGCAGATGCTCTTGATACTTATTCGCATTTTGTTCTATATATTTTTGCTAAAGTGGGATCAAGTCAAGTGAGACCACAATCGAATGGAATCCTTTGCAAGTAAAAAGCAAAACCTGTTTATGATCAAAACATAAAAAAAACCGTCAATATTTAAATTTGCTTTTAAAGAAGTAACTGTAAACTCTCGCGTTTCAGTTTTACACTTGCAGCTTGTTAAGAAAACATTATTGTAGGTAGTCAGTGAATGTCCAGAATTACGTGATTATCAAGGTAATGTTACCTTTATAACGCCAGGGATAATGCCGTCAGTAGTTTGAAACGAAAATGTTTACATTTCAACATGAGACAACGCCTGAACAAACATACCTGATCAAACAAACATGCGAATCATGTGAGTTTACTCATAGTATTTGAATTAAGCCCAAAAATAATTATCTTACATACACAATAGAATACACTGATAAGATGTGAGTATTGTCTTTGTAAACTACATGTAACACACGTGGTTACATGTCGGGAAATGAATAACAGCAGACTATTTTTGCAAAACTAGCTGATGTGTAAATTCCCAAGGGGACTATTGAGAAATCACCAATGGAGTATATCTTATGAATGTAGTATTCTTACGTCTTGCATCTTTCTTAACCTATTGTTAAAATCCTGTACGTCATTACCTATATACAAGGTATACAAGACGAGGGTCTTTTGTGACGCAACCTTCAACCCCTTGTGAAATCCGGACTTCCTTATTTTCGCACGGGAATTTTAGGGTCTTGGGAACCCTAATAATAACATTTATGGATCAAGTTGTAAGCTATTATAATTCCGTGTTCATATAACAATAAAACGTACGAATTTCTGCGAACTACCAAAATAAAAATAATCTCATAAAAGTCGGTTACTGTAATCTGAACTACAATTTAAAAGGCATTAGCCATAAACGTCTCTATTGGATGAGTAACTCAGTACTTCAGCTTGGCCGGCGATGTAAAATTTGATGAAAATCAGTCAAAATAATTTTGTCTTGTAATTTCTACTCTCACAAACTCTCGTAGTCAAGTGCTTTGTTGAAGGTGACTCGCATGTCGCAGCTGTAACTTTCTAAAAGTGATCGTCGTGAATATCAACGAAATATCCACCTCTCTGTTGCTAGACAATTTGCAGAATGAAAAGCTAAAAATAAAAAATAACTAGACAAACAATAGCACGAAATGTTTACAGATTTGGCGCGCTGGCCTCGTAGGTTCCACACGAATGACCTGCGATAAGTATGTAAAAAGTGGGTGGCCACCCTATTTCGAGGCGTGCACGTCACATGAGCATTGTTTGTGTGTTTACAGTCCGTCCGGTGCACATCGGCCGGCCCTGACATTACCATTGTTGCCAATACTCTGTAATGCTTTGCCGATCAACCGACGCATCTTTACGACGCACAAGTAAATCGATTCACTGGTTTAATGTGATGAGTGATGCGTTTCATATACAAACATTCACCTCCCAAACAGATGAATATTATGCGCGATTGAATTTATGTTTGAAATCGTAAAAACGTTAATGGCACCACATAGCTAATAACATTTTGCCACTCTAGTAAAATTATAATATTCTATACAAGCAGCATTTTCTCATAAGATTATTATAATAACTATTCGTTCGTATAATGGAGACTTGTTAGACCTGTTTACTTGTATGTCGCCGTAGTTCGGGCCCTGTTTGCATGACAAAAGGGCGAGATACGAACACTAATTAACACTACAATTGGCATCTCTTTACACTTGTAACACAATACCTCGTTTGTTATAACTCTGGTAATTGTTCAGCGTATCTATTCACAACGTGCGACGTAGTAGACGCACAGGAGATAGAGGTCTGGCCATTTATACGCAATGTGACTCGTTTGACATTGAAGCTGATAAAATTACCTAATTTACTTGTCCAACTGGTTGTCTCTATCCAATCTTGCTATGAATGGGTTTTAGGAAACATTAAGTATTTGTTTATGCAAGTATTGCCATAGCTATTTTTTATTATCTTGTCTTACCCTTGTTTCTGTCAGAACATAAATAAAGCTATCAAGTGCACGACATCACTTGACAGTAACGCGAGCCGGGTCGTAGAATATCGATTGGTATGATGTACCAATAATATACCTGTACTGCACTCCTCTTAATTTTACGAGAGAGTGACGAGCCGTTGATTGATACAATTATGCAGGTAATAAAAAGTTCTTCGTAAGTTCCAGTGAATAATTTACATGATAAACTTGTCCGATATACATAATATATTAATGATCGGCTTTATTTTTGTGTAACACTAAACACACGTAGGCATTATAGCAATATCGCGAATGATTATCATATTCACAATGATATAATTCATCGTTCATTATCAAGGATTGTGCTATTTTTTCAAGGAAACTGATAACTATAATGATAAACTTATCGACTTATCCATAATCAAGATGATCCGTATAAAGAAAATAAAATGTATAAGTACCTACATATTTTTGTGTAGGTATGTAGGTGACGTTGCAAGTCTTATCGTAGTAGTTATTAAACTGTTGTAAATATTGTGGTAAGAGTAATAACAAAAATCACAATCATAAAAACGTGACCCCCGATTATTACACTTACCTTACAAGATTCTGCTATCCCATAAAAACAAACTGATAAGGCCCTAGTAATGATTGTAAACAGTAGTTAGCAGTTAGATCGAGACTGGCTCGGCCATTATAAATGAAGGACCCATATTTGATGGGCAAATGACGTAGCCAATGTCCATATAGTGTGTTGAATGCCAACAATACAATACAGCACGTCCGGGACACCAGCAAATTAATTCGCCGCAGACTGACGGAAGGACGATAAACATGGCGCGTGTTCCTGGACCTATATAAAACTATTATTCATCATTCGAGTTACACAGAGCTTGTAGACATGTACGCTATAATGAAGTGTGACATCGATACTCCACGTCCTGCAATGACGAAGACTTCGTTTTAATCGGTGCGAGTTAATTATATAAACGTTACGTATGTCCGCATTTTCTTTTCGATTTCAGAAGAAATAAAACAAAATGTAGTGAGAAAATCTCTGTTACATCGTCTTTTACATAGTTACAATAGCATTCTCAATTTGCTAGTCTGAAAATAAAATGTGAAGAGCTCTGTATCTAAACATCAAAAATTAAAATTTATAACACCATTCAGTATCGATACAATCTCCAAATAAACAGTTTACATTAGTTCAGCCTGTGTTATGCCGCAGGTTTATTCTTACTAACGTGTAACTTACCTAATATGAGGCGGGTTGGTAATAAATTCTATTTACTGAGATAGCACTTACTCCAGAATGAATCTAGTTTCACCTCGCTACA